GCCATAGCCAACATCTGCTTGCAGGGATGCGTAGCTTTTCTTAACATAGAGAGCTACACCCTCACCACTTTTATCTACTCAGTCTCTCCTGTACAAGGTATAGCCATCTATACCCATGGTTCAGTCATGGGTGGAGTCCCACCAGGTCTCTGTTATCTCTATGATGTCATAATTATTTGCATTAAGCAGGAGGACAAGTTTCTTCTGCTTATTCCCCAAGCTCCTGGCTTTTGTGTACAGGCAGGCAAGTGTCCCCTTGGGGGCTCTTGCCTTGCCCACAGATTGTACCAGGGCTGGGGCAGGGGTGGGTTCCCTTAAGTGCCTTGGCCTGCTGGCTTTGCAAGGGTTGCTCAGCAGGCCAACAGTGGCGATAGCCCCCCCGTTCTGTTGCTCTGTGGGATTCATCAATCACCTCAGCCTGAAGGAGAGCCCACTGAGGATCTGACTGGTTGCACCAGTGCCCTGTGAGGGAGAGGTAGATGTGATCTCCACCCCAGCTGCTCCAGATGTCCATGGTGAAGTATAAGGCCATGTGTGGACCTGCCTTGTGCAGCTTTTACCTCAAGTACTCCCTGCATGCTTCATACAGGGAGGGCACCACTTTCTTGCTGAAGGTGGTGCGTGCAGGCACTTAGTAGGATGGGGCCACAAGCACCATGAGCTGCCTGAACCCTGGCTGGCCAACTAAGGAGAAGGGCTGGCCATCCACGGAAAGCATCTCCCCAGTGCTCTGAGTGATCTCGCTCTCCCTTGCAATGAACCCCACTTTCTGTCCACCTTCCCCTCATTGTTCCAAGATGGCCTGCCTCTGCTTTGGGGGACTGGAGCTTTGGCGTGAGAGGGGGACTTCCCTTTGGGCACATTACCACTCATGCCAGGCCGAAGAGGAGCAAGGGAAAGTGGGTGGTGCCTGCTGAGATCCATCAGCATCCCCGTGGTGCTCATGTGTTTTGTTTCCTTGCCCTGGCTGATTTTGGCTTGGCAGTGCAGGCAGACAGTGTATGTGGGATCATCTGCCAGCTCAAAATGATCCCAGACCACATCACCTGCTCACTTCTGGGGTGTGAGTGCATGTGTGGATGCTGCAGTTTCCCCCTCCTCAGCAGGCAGAGACACAGCAACAGGAGGAGTGGGCTTAACTGATCTGCTTGCCTCCACAACCTCTACCTCAGCCTCCTCTGAAGTGTCTTCTGGGGAAGAAGACTTGGCTGTAGGGGAAACTTGAGGGGTGTAGTGCACAAACTCAGCTGATTCCCCCTCCTTCCCTAGAATTTCCCTTTCTAGGGCACTCAGATCCAGCTCCAGCTCTCGCTCTTCCTCTGGCACTGGAAGGCTCAGCATGGGAAGTGAAATGGGGGTGGAGGAGCAGCACCAGCATGCTGGTGCTGCTTCATGGTGTCATGGTGGTGGTGGGGCAGCGGGGTTATGGCTGGTGCTCTTGGAGGGTTGATGCAGACTGAGGCACAGGCAGTGGCACTGGCACTGCTCCCCTCTCCTTGATGCTTCTGGAAGCCTCATCCCTGCTAGTTGTAGGAAAGAGGCTGTGTCCAAGCTGGGTTCGGGGGTGGGAGAAGAGGACTTACACCTCTCCCTCTACCCACCTTTCCACCGCTCCCTGAAGGCTTGCCAGCTACCTTCCACCATGCTTCATGGTGCATTTCATAGTGTCTTGTTTTTATACAAATATATAAATGATATCTGCATTCCTATATAAATTCTCTAAGGTGTGTAGTCTATGCCCCAAGGTATTAATGTATAGAAATAAAGGTATCTCCCTTCCTATATAAATTAAATTCTGTAATAACCAACATAATTATGACATTGAAAAGAATAAATCAATTAATATAATAATAAAATAAAAGGGTCTATAAGAAAGAAAAAGGTATTCTGGAATGCCACTTGCTAGGCTAGGCTAGCAAGCAGGAAATCATTTAAATCAGTGCTAGCAATAGCCTTGTCTAAAGCTCCTGAGCTGCTGGAAGACACAGCTCAGTAACTGTCAGACCCCAAGGCTAAAAGCTGGCCAGTTCAACCAATGCTGCCTGTATGCTATTTTTCCATCCCTCCCCCAGAGCACTGGGATTGGAAGGGACCTCAAGGAATGAGGACAGTCACTGGCCAGCCACACAGTTAATATGAAAGCAGTCCTTCCTCCCTCTTCCCCCATCTTCTCCTCTCCTTACTTTCTGTTTTTCTGCAGACAAGCCCAGCTTGAGCTTCAAAACTTGAAATGTTTTGAAACTTTTGAAACATTTTGACTGCCCTCATTTCATTTCGAGGCCGTTTTGAAGCCCTTCATTTCATTTTGATTTTGCTGTTTAAAGGTCGAAACAAGTCAAAATAGCATCAAAATGAAACAGCTGGTGAGATTTCGCACAGTCCTAGTGGTTTGCAGATAATTGCCTGGCTACATAGTATTAACTCCTCCCCCTTCTACTTCCGATGCAACATGAAGTTGAAAGAAGGCCAGATCTGTATTATTTTCTCAACACTTCTTTTCAATATATTCGACTGCTATACATAGTGCAAAGGTATCTTACATAATCAAAAGTGGAAGGAGAGATAAACCATAAAACA